TCTTATGAATTATTTGTAAGGTTGGACAAGCAGTGACAAATTGTTTCAATTTCTGTTTTGGAAGGCCTTTATTTCATCTCCATTTATAAATGAGAGTTTTTCTTGGTACAGTATTCTAGGGTGAAAGTTTATTTAAGTACTTGGACTATGTCTCTCCATTCTCTCCTAGCCTTTAGGGTTTCTGTTGAGAAATCTGGTGTTAGCCTAACTGTACATCCTCTGAAGGTAACCTGGCATTTCTCTAATGTACTTTTTAGAATTTTGTCCTTTTTGCTTTACTGTTCAAAGTTTGGTTATGATGTATTGTGGTGAAGATTTTTTCTGATACGTCTATTAGGAATTCTATGTGCTTCCTGTACTTGTATGTTCCTTTCTTTCTCCAAATTAGGGATGTTTTCTTCTATTATTTTGCTGAATAGGCCTTCTTATCCATTCTATATTTTGATGCCTTCAGGAATTCCTAAGACACATGTTTAGTCATTTGATAATATCCCATAAATCTTTAACACTATTTTCAGTTTTTCTAATTTTCTTTTTTTTACTTTGAGATATTTCCAGGGATTTGCCTTCTAGCTCGGATATTCTTTCTTCTGCCTCACTGATTCTGTTAAGGTTTTCTACTGCATTGTATATTTGACGTATTTAATTCCTCATTAATGATATTTCAGTTTATGTTCAATATCTCGATCAGCAAAATTTTTCATATCATGTATGATTTCTTTATCTCATGAATTTGTTTCTCTGTGTTTATTAGTTATGATTCTTTTAAATACATTTCACTAATTTGATCAATGTCTTTCATCTACACATTCTACTTTTTAAGTGTTGTTGTGTTCCTTTTGGGAAGTCATATTATCTCCCTTGGTCTTATTTCTTGTATTTCTGTATTTATTTTTAGGCATTTCTGGAAACTTTTTTCCTGTAATGGCTTTTATCTTTTAACTAAGCCTCTGTGGCTCAGTGAAGTGTCTGCTCCTTCACTGGATATCCAGAGGAATGTGCTGGGTGGGGCCAGGGAGCTCTGGTCAGTGATCAGGGTTGGTGCAAGAGTCTAGAGTGATACCCAATTTGGGTATGGTAGATCTCCTCTATTACCAGCAGGGAAGAGGGTATGATCATGTCTGTTGACATGGTCACAGCCTCATCTCCTCTCTTCCAAGGTTGTTAATGTCCAGGGTTTGCCCACAGTGGCTACAACATGCACTCACACAGGCACCCTAACCACACATGTGCCCTAATCACATATAGAACTTTATAGCACTGTGTGAACACACATGGAACTCTCTGCAAAGATACATCCCAGGCAATCAGAGAACTCTGAGCTTCTGAAGCCAGACGCAGTGACTTTCCAGAGACCCAGCTACACCCCAGATCCTAATATGCATTCACAGAATTCCCACAGTGTTAGCACACAAGGTTTCCACAGCCACAAAGTGCAGGGGATCCACTCTCAACCACACGAGTGTTCTCCACATTGGCAGTTTGAGCCCTGGAGACTGCGACAGCATAGGCAAAGAAGCACCTCACAGTCCTAAGTGGATGCCCAGTCACCTGCCAACCCTCCAGGCCAGATTGAAAGACAGTTGGGAATATAGATTGATCCCTAGCTGCACACACAAGAGTTTTCCACAGTCTCTACTTGTGTTAAGATGGTGCTTTCTCCTTATTGGTCACCAGGTGTCCCTGTGGGGGAATGGTGAGAAAGAAATGTGCTCTTCCTTCACAGGACTAAATGGGTACCCTGCCCCAGGTAGCCCTACAGGCCAGATTCAAAATCAGTGTGGTGTAAAAGGTTCTTCCTCAGGCAAAATCACTAGTGAAATGGGTTGCCACAGTCTTTTCTGACTTTACTCTCAGAAGCTGGCATTTTGCCAGGCCTTCGCTGCAGGGCTTGTGGGTAGTATTCTTGCTCACTGCTGAGTTTGTAATGTCCACGTATGGAAGCTGGGGCGGCAGCTACCTGCCTGGTTTGCTGGAGCAGGCATCTTCCTCCCGGGGTCCAAGCTTTTGTTGTTTCCGTTGTTTATTTGTTCCCGTGGTACAGGATTGGAGTGTTTCTATTGCTCACACTGGGTTTCCTGCTGGGGTTCCCCCAGAGCACTATTCTATGAATGTATTTACTCCATTTATTAAACATTAATTTCATGCCATGTAAGCTGGACTGTCCTGGTGCTATCCCGCCATCTTGGAACTCCCAGCACCACTTTTTTTTTTTTTGACAGGCAGAGTCAGAAAGTGAGAGAGAGAGAGACAGAGAGAAAGGTCTTCCTTTTCTGTTGGTTCACCCCTCAAGTGGCAGCTACGGCTGGTGCTGATCTGAAGCCAGGAGCCAGGTGCTTCCTCCTGGTCTCCCATGCAGGTGCAGGGCCCAAGGACCTGGGCCATCCTCCAGTGCCTCCCCAGGCCACAGCAGAGAGTTTGACTGGAAGAGGAGCAACCAGGACAGAATCTGGCACCCCGACTGGGAATAGAACCTGGGGTGTTGGCACCGCAGGTGGAGGATTAACCTAGTTGGCCCCAGCACCACTTCTGATCCAGCTCCCTGCTAATGGCTTGGGAAAAGCAGTGCAAAATGGCCTGAGTGCTTGGCCTCCTGCACCCATATGGGAGACCAAGAAGAAGTTCCTAGATTCAGCCTGGCCCAGCCCAGAACCTTTGCAACCATTTGGGGCATGAGCCAGCAGATAGAATCAATCTTTCTCTCAATTCTGCCTTTCAAGTAAAATAAATAAATCTTTAAAAAGTATATAACATGTGGTAAATAATCTTACATCTGTCTCTTAGAGATTGTTAATTGTATTGATGTGTTTGCAGTGAGTCCCTTACATGCCAGCCCCTATTTTCCCTGCTTTACTCATGTATGGTATTATACACATGGCTCTCACATATGGTACTCATAGACATATATGGCTAGATGGTACTTGTTTATGTGTGTGTTTGAGTGTGTGTGTATACACACGCATGCATGTAGAGAGCGAGGAAGATGGAGAAAGAGGAATGAAACTCATATAAGGTATTTATATACCTGTAAGTTAATATTTACTGAAACAATGCTAAAACTACAATCTAGTTTTGTATATGGCAAAATCTATATGATTCCCTGGACTGATGCATTTGTTATATTTGGACATTTGGATGTTGATGTTTTGAGTTTTCCTGGCGGTGAGGGGGTTGTCTTTGTAGCACCAAATATTTTGTCTGTAGCTGCTACATGGTAAGTATTTATTTTGGTTCTAGTATCTAGTAACTCTGAATTCTTAATGAAGACAGTAAAAGTCACCAGCACTCACACCACACTGTCATCAGAACAATGTGTACTTAAAGAATCTTAGTCCTCCAAGTGATGAGCTGCTCTCAGATTGGTTATACCTTCCAGAACCCTTTCTGTCCCCAAGTTTTACCTCATTCTAGCCCAGTGAACAACACTGCTCCCAGGGAACCCAGGTCTAGCCTCAGGGTGCCCTGGTGACAATCAGTACCTTGGTCAGTGCCAATTAGGCCCTAGGCAACCATCATATTTCCTGGCAAACACACCTTATGTTATGACATTTTGATATAACTCAAAGGTGCCAAAATTAAACAGAATGAATTGCTTCTTCATTTGCCTTCCAATTCCACAAACGCATTATTGGCAGCACAGTATGTATATATATCCCTGTATGGATGACAGGCCCATGCTGGGCAGAAGTGCTGATTTACTGATCATCCCATCATCCCATTATCAGCATCTAGAGCAGTGACACACAGAATAATATGAGCAGGTGCTTTCCTGTTCAAAGGAATTACTTAGAAGTGTTTTTGATAAACCATAATCTACATAGCTGAGATACTGATGCAATTTTAGAAGTAGAAATGTATAAAAAATTCTCCACAGAATTATTAGTTGTATATATGTCAGAATGAAATATGTCAGCATAGATAGCTTATGCATCCATATAAAGGAAACTATAATCACTGACCATAGCAATTAACTTTATATATTTGCACTGCCAAGTCACAAAACACTAACACAATTTGATCTTGCATTTGCAATAAATCTTTAAAATCACAAAAGAATAAGGAAAAATATGCAGAATTCATTTTTCTGGACATTTAGCTTTTAGAGCTTATATGAGTGTAATTTACTTACATACTATAAAAACAATAACTTAAAAATTCATTTTTTCAAATTGTGAAAGGAATTGACTGAAAAAATTGAATTGTGCATTAAAATGCTGTAGATGCTCTAACGAAAGATAGAATGTCAAGATACATATTTTCAGTATATTTATACTGAACTACATGAACTGAAACTAGAGTCCCACCATTTAAATTAAATTAAATACATTTAAATTATGTAAACTAGTTATTAAAAAAAGAAAAAAATCCCATCTATAACACTAACAATGTCTATTGACTTGAGCCTAAAACACATTCTAAGCAACCTAAATTCCCCAAAGTCAAATTTTGCATTAACTTCTGATTTTAATATTTATGTCATAGTCTGAAAAGCTATTTGCAAAATCATACATTTTATTACTCAGAAATAATTGTTCTAGGACTAGCTAAAAAGGATCCAGGGAACAAATAGCTTTTGCTCAATTTAAATGTCTCTGCAGATACTTATCATAGCTACTGACAAATGTTTATTGTTTAGTTATTCAAACTAATGAAGAAATGTATTTACTGAAAATTAGGTTGATAGCTTGGAAATGCTGAGAAAAATCTGTCAAAGGAAACAAAGGATGCAAAGACCTATTGATTTTCTTCTTCTTTTTAAAAAAGAAACTATCCGAAGATTTGTCATATTCTAACGTCTTCATCCAAAATTTATCACACTCTTTTGGATGCACAAACAACATTATTTTATGTCACAATGGGAAAAGGAGTAAGCTACCGAATATTAGTTATCACAGAAGGAAACATTCAGATTTGGAAGTGTGTGAAAGTGAAGGCAGTACCTGGTGCGGCATCGGGAGGGAGGGAGGCAGAAAACACGTGCATCCAAAGCACAGCCATACCTTGCTTCTTTCCTGCAGTTCAATTTGTGATGTGTTGAAATCAGGGCCTTGGGCACTTGCATTCGATCTGTGTTTCCCATCCAGGAGCTCTTCCATTTCTTTCACCTGGACCTTCAGCCTTCTATTCTCTCTCTGCAGTCCTTGTTTTTCTGCTTCAGTTACTTCTCGCTTGTCCCACTCCAAGGTATTTTCAACCTGCAGCCTCTCTAGCTAAACAGAGACAACACAAAGTGGCAGCATGTAGCAGTTATAATCTCTAAAAGAGAAAGCACCCAACAAATAAGCCCCCACAAGGAAGATACATGGGTTTGTCTACTTAAGTAATATTATAGAAAAAATTCTTTTTGACAACTTAAAAACAACACAAAAGTCCCTGAAGCAGACCATATCTCAACAAATATGCCCTTTTCTTGCTTTAGGCAACTGTCTCTAGAGCCACATGGACCGTATTTTAAAGAAATAGGATAAGTGAAAACTGGTGAATTTTTGCCAGTAATGAGGAACATTTACCAGTTGAAAAGACACAAAGTTATTTATTGGGAAATTTTAACTTGATAATGTTCATTTCTTCACTCATTCCTTTATCTGGAGAAGGAGAATTTAAATTCAAGGTCCTCTGTACTACATTTGGCACTGCAGGTAGAGAGAAGTGAAAGTGATGAAGTGTACCATGATCACAGTTCTATAAAATAGACTCAAACATTCCAGAAAGAGTGGCTCACGTGATTTCAGGGCATAGAGATTGGGAAACCGTGGCCTGTGGGCCAATCATAGACCTGCTCATGTGCGCATGTCCCACAATAAATGCATTTTATTTAATGGTTGGAAGATATCAAAGAATAGTACTATTTTTAACATTTTTGACATTGTTGAAAATTCAAGTTTCAGTCACATAAATAAAGTTGTACTGGATCACAGCCATGGGCATTACTTCATCTAGTGCCCAGGCACGCTGTCACATAGAGCAAAGGTGAGGTTTTGAGAAAGCAACCGCACAAAGCTAACAAAGCTTATGTTATTTTCTATCCAGACCTCATCGCACGGTTGTCAGTGAGAGGTGCAGTCAGATCAATTTAAGATTTTATCATCACCAGTGACCAAAACTGCATCTAGAAGTTCGGATTTAGTGGATTTAGAATAATTTCATTTTTGCTCTGATGTTTTTACATTTATAGTTAAAAGAGGCCATACCAAATTAATTGATTCTCTACAGTTTATTATGACTCAATGTCTATTCATTGTTTTCATGAGATTGAATTATATTTGTTAGGATTTTTGTTGTTATTCTGGATATTGTAGATAGATTTTATTAGTGACTTTTTAGCATGAAATTCTAATCCTGAACTCTGAATTATAATTCTATTTATCTCTGGGTAAGCATAGGTTAACTTTGTCTCACCAAAGTGGATAGTTAATTTTCTAAATGGCAAAATTTATGAAAAGTGAAATTAATCAAATTGATAGGAAAGCATTTATAACACTATACTGCTTTGATGGTAAAAATTGTTTGTGGTAATAAACTTCAAAATCATTAATACATATTTCTGTCATATATATGGGCACATGTATATCCAAATTTCAAAGAAATTCATTGTATAAATCTGTATCATGAAGTAACTCTTTACAATACAAAAACTGTTACAAACTAGTAATGGTTTCATAACTTATTGATTGATCCTGCACAAAATTCACAGTTTTTTCTGTCATTAAATTTTCTTAATAGTAAAATTTGTATGAAAGTATCAACCCCACTAATCTGTAGTAATGCAAAGTCTGAATGAGACAGTTCTTCAAACACATAAAACATGTAAGATGGTCAAAATATGAAGCTTTTAAAAACTAATTGTTAATATAAAATTGTGAATCAGTTTTTACATTGTTAATTTTAATGGCTTGATAGTAATGTATTATATGGTATTATATTATAATAATTGTTTCCATGATGTTTTAACTCTAAAAGAAAAATAAACTTAATTAAGATTTTACAAAGTTAGGCTTTTTAAAATAAATTTTGATATAAAATCCTGAAAACTACTTTTTCATATGCATATAATTGTATCATTAGGGTAGAAAATGTTCTGCTCCCAAATGTCAGAGATGCTCTGGCTTCTAAAAGATTGGCAACCAAAATTACATTCTTGGCACTAGATCTCATTTTCCAGTTAAGTACAATAAACTAAAGGGTCAAATTTTGATGAAGTGAATTGACATTTGGGGTGCTTATTTGGGAATATGATACAAAAGTGGAATCTCACAATCCAATTTAGACATGACATTACTTTAATTATTAAGATTAATGCTTAAACTTTCCATCATTGCATCACTTATCAGAACAGAGAAAGGACTGGAACAAGAAAGTCTGCAACTTACTTAGTGATGAAAGATTAATTTTATGAGAGTAGGTGTATTTTTAGACAAGGACAAATATGATGTGATGTCAAGGTTTGGTAAAATTATAGGCATTTAAAGAAATTGCTAAAGTCAAATAAATTAAACTCTAATAATAGATAATAGGTAGAACTAAGGTTAATAATAAGTAATAGATGACATGAATAATAAACTTTAAATATTAAAACAAGTGTACAAAAAGGAATAATTTTAACATTACAAACAAAAAAGCCTAAACAATGGCATCTGACCTTTACTATTTGCAGACTTATTAGCACTTACTGATTGTTTGGTAAATATATGCATATGATACACATTGAAAATGTTAATACCTTTGAAATCTGAAGTAACATAAAAATTATAAGATAATTTATTTTAGCTTTAATTTTGCTAAATTATTTATAAAATCCTTCTTTTCCAAGAATCAAAGAAAATCCACCATCTTAAAAGGCATAAAGCACAATTTAAAATGACAAACTATTTCACCAAATTTGAGTTGTCATAGTTTATCATGAAAAACTTCAATATTTCTATATTTTCTTAAAGGAGCAAAATCCTAAAATATTTTAAGTCTAACCTACAATGAATTATAAGTAACAATGAGTTCTAATGTTAAATGGATTTCAAATAATGTAGGAATCATTGAAAAATCTTTTCTGAAAATATTAAATATTCTTATTAGAACACTAATATATTTGTTGATTTAATGACCTCCAATTTCATACACACATTGAGAATACATAAATATCAAGTCTTCATTTACTTACCAAATATTTATTGAGAGGTAGAGTTAACAGACATTGAAAGGAACAGATAAAGAAAAAAGGTCTTCCACATGCTGGTTCATTCCCTGCAGTGGCCAGAGCTGATCTTATCGAAGCCAGGAGATGGGAGCTTTTTCCAGGTCTCCCACACTGGTGCAGAGGCCCAAGCACCTGCCATCTTTTATGGCTTTCCCAGGCCATCGCAGAGAGCTGGATTGGAATAGCAGCAGCTGGGACACAAACCTTGCTTTAGGCCATATCAGCGTGCTTCAGTTTTTTTAGATACCGAGAGTAATCAAAATGTCTGGGAAGAACCTATCTGACAAGTCTGGTACCAAGTTAGTTTGTCTCCTAAAATTATTTAAGGAGAGATTTGGAAACAGAATGTCTCACCACCATTATGCCACGCTCAATTACAATCTTGTTATAATATATTCATTCTCCTAATTCAGACACCGTGTGTTTGCATATTTCTTCCTAGCAATACTGCACACTTGAGGGTGCAGCTAGTGCCTGGTAAATTAAGTCCTACTAGAGACATCTTATACAACCCTTCCGTCCCTGGTATCTCCGGGTCCACAAACTCCATTTTGTGTTTCATATTCAGTGAGTGCTAATTCTCTAATGTTTCATGCTTTTTGAGATAAGAAATCTGCTGAAGCATAACAATGTTTGGTGGTAAATCTGCAGAAAAATTTTTACTTTTTTTTTCATATTAAGGCTTTTCTCTGTTTTAGGAACTTTTTATGAAACAGTTCTCATCTTGTGGGCATAATAGCAGCATGTTTATATTTTTTATCTCAATAGTTCCTAGAATATATAGAGATGAATATTAACTTCCACATACAAATGGAAAAGATATTTGGATATTAAATTTTATAACACCATTAAGATTTGTTTTCACAAGCAGAGAAGGAGGGAGGCTGTGGGGTGGAGGAGAGAAAGAGAAAGAAAAATTACTGTTGATTCATTAGTTAAGCACTTAAGTGCCCTCAAGGGTAGAGGTAGGCTGAGGCTGAAGCCTGGATTCAGGAACACAATCCAGGACTCCCAAGTGGGTGGCAGGATTCCAACTAATTGAGCCATCATAGATGCCTCCAGGGTCTGTGTTGGCAGGAAGCTGTAGTCAAGAACCAGAGTAGGAATAGAAATCAGGTATTCTAATTGGGATACAGTCATGTTAAACATTGAGCTGAATACCCACTCTGTTATAAGATTTTGAGACAATGACTATTGTAAAATCAAGGTTCTCAATGAAATCATGCTCAAATCTTCATAGAAGCATTATTTCCCATCATTCTAAAATATATTGACTCACTTAAACATGCAAATTTTGGGATGGGATTAAGATGACAGAGTATGGGAGGAGCTTACTACTCTAGACTAGGAGAAGATAGTTTTAAAAAAGTGGAGAGAGTTCAGTCTCAGGGAAGAGTTAGAGGAAAAAACGGCAGTGGAAACTCCATGCAAATTAGAGGGACACTATGGACCCACGTGGAGGGTGTGGATGCATACAACTCAGGACCCCAACAGCCAAGAGCCTCTGCACAAGCTTTGGAGAGTGAGCTGACACCAGCTTGCAGCAGCCCAAGCCACTGGTGATAAAGTTGCAGAAAGAGCATGGAAGAAATCAGGCTTGCAGCCATGTGGAGGATAGTGTACCTGACAAATAGGAGAAAAAAAGGGTGGGGGGGCATACTTCTCTCTCCCCAGTCACCCTGCAATGGCATCCTGTAACAAACTGAAAGAGAGCATGCACAATTTTGGACATTTGTAACAGCTATGCCAGCTCCTGTCTGCACCCAGCAACCAGCCAAGTGGAGACCTGGTGGGGAAAAATGACAGGGGGATGGGTGCTTGTGACTGTGGGAGGCTTGTGTGCTGGGACTGTGAAAACTGAGGCTGCATGAGAGGGCTCAGAGTGTGGTTGGGACTTTGGGAAGTCACTGTAGGAGGCTCCACATGCTCAGGGCCCTATGGTTTCTGGTGAAGGACATTATCATAGAATATGTGCTTACACTGAGGACTATGTCACTCCCCGTCTTCGTGGAGGAACGA